CTTTCCCTCTTCCCTTCCCTTAAATTCAAGGCTCTTGAGATCTGCCAACAAAGGAACTTTGTAGAAGAGACAGTCTATCTTCTGAGTAAGTAGCACTCGGTGTGATAAATTACAACATGCTTTTAATCTTGTCAAAGTTTATGCTGCGAAAATGTATGATGTATTTTCTAATGTCGTTTAACACGCTTTCCCAGAGACAAAGTTGGTATACAGTCAGTACAACCAAATAACATGATTTAGAAAATAAAACAAAGCACTGGAATATTCATATAATGTCTTAACTCCATATATTGATTTATTGTATTTCTGATTTGGTGTTTTTCTGGGATTTTGGAGGTGCTGGGTAGCTACAGAGAACAGCTTGGGGGGTGTTTTTGAGACAATCTCCAAGAGAAAAGCAGTACTGTCGGTTTGAAGAGAGGGGAGAAATTAAAAAAATGTTCTATTCTAAATACATCTCAGAAGCTTAATATTATCTTTTGCTGCGGTAGAAGATTTGCTTATGTTGCCTTTTTTTTTTTTTCCTTAATAAAATTAATTGTAAATTAACTCCCAGAGCAGGCCAAGGAATTTGCCTCTGAACGGGAGACACTGTAAGACTTAGATTTTTTTTTTTTTTAAATGTTTATGACTAATACGTAAACAAAATGGAAAGCATTTTTTAATCAGTCTTTGTTTTAGTAAGAAAGATGTTTTGTGGACCACTTGGGAGCAGAGTAGGATTTACTCATAGATTTACTTAAATAATAGTTCTGTATTTCTACTGTTTCGTCCTCTTCCTCTAATTTTCCATGGGTCTAAACTGCACTATACTTGCTGCAAATTAAGAGTGTCCGTTCAGGCTTTTAAAGGGGGAATTTCATGTCATAGTTTATATACATATACATGCACACACCTTTACATTAGATGTTGCTGCATTTCAGAACCCCTAATATGACCCAACACACCCTTAAGAAAGTCACCAGGTCTCAGTCCAGCAAAGTGCTCCACGCACTTGTTTGGGTTATACTGATTGCTCTGGGATTTGCATTCCTACATCAGATTAGATTAGATTTGGTCTTGCTTGAATTAGTCTGAGGCAACTTCACACTTAAAAAATTCATATTGAAAGAACCTCTTAAAGCACTGAGCATTGGATAAGCATTTAGGATTTATAATCTCTTTACTTATTTTTTCCTTCCAGGCAGAATGGGTAATAGCCGCAGTGCCTTGAAGATGATAATGGAAGAATTGCAAGATGTAGATAAAGCTATTGAATTTGCCAAGGAACAAGATGATGGAGAACTTTGGGAAGACCTCATTTTATATTCTATTGATAAACCACGTAAGTAGGATAGTTTCTCAGAAGCCTTGCCTGTGTATTTTTTTTGTTGCGGTTTTGTTACTGCAATTAAAGGATTGAATTATCCACGTGCATGTTAGAGAAAGTGTTTATGGATGGACAGGGAGGCGTTCTGGTTTGCGGAGCACAACATAGCTGTCCTACTGTGCATAAAAAGTTCCAGTAAGGCAGCATGTGGGCATGGTACAGAATGAGTACTTAGGGATTTAACATTTGACTAAGCTCTGCATAGTTATATCCTTAATGACAAATTAAGGGGAGAATGGTGCTTTTAATTTGGCAGAATGAGGGTTTATTTTTAGACAGCCTCAAACACAGTCTGTAGGCTTGATGAGGATGTTGTGTAGTGTGTTTATTGCAGCTGCTTCCCTTTGAAATTCTGAAAATGAAGAACCTTTTTGCCTTTCAGTAGAATAACTAATTTGTTTTGTTCTGTGGCAGAAAGGTAAGATCTGTAATAATGCATTTTGCCTTTCATCCATTATATGAATAGATACTCAAGTTTAATGTTTAGATGGAATCAGAAACTGTCAGAATCTCATATGCAACCTAAGTTTTGTTCAGGAGGGAAATTCAGAGGAGTTCATGTGACTGAAAAAAGAATTACTTTAACTATCGACTCCATTAGTTTTGCAACCTCTTCTGGGACTTTAAATCAAGGCTTTAAAGTCTCTCTTGGGATCTCTTTTCCAAAGGATTGAATGTCTTGTAGAATTAGTGTCAGAATACATATCTTTTCATCTCTTTGACACTAATTCTGACAGGAAGAAGCGACCAAAATCTGTTACAGCTTTAGAAGAATGTCATTCTCAAGTTACCCGTACTTAAACGCAGTTCATCACTAAAAGTGATGTTAGAATCAGTGGCATCTTTAGAGCAAAAGGGCTTCAAAGCATATAAAATTCTTTCAGTTCCATCTGCCTATATGCAGAGCAAGTCCAGTGATATTCCTCAATTTTGGGGGTTGAAGAAAAAACACAGCCCTGAGGTTCATCCTTCTAGTGTTTCATTTAGCCAGGTGTAATTCAAAAAGCAAAAGACTACTTTTGTGTCACTCTCACAAGCATTTAGAAACACATTCGAGTTAGGTTAAGTGCTTGAAAATTTGGTTTTAAACCCTGGAAATGGAATAGTAACATAATGCAGTTAATTTTTCTGGCTCTGTTTTCTTGAGTGCCCTTTTTATTGAATTGAAATGCAATTATTTGTGGCTTTGTGCTGGATACCCAGTTATCCCTTTTCTGCATACCCTAGAAGGTCTGTGAATTGCCAAACTGTATCTTCCTCTGTTACCAAAAGACGTGTATTTGAGTAAATACAGCTGCAAGAAACATATGAAGGCTATATAAAAGAGGCTTAGTGTTATCCTTTAGTAGAGAACTGTCATAGAATCAGCCAAAGCCTGTAGCTTGTCACCAAAGCATCCTTTAATCGGGTATTTTGCTGGATTTTTGTCTCAATTTCTTTGCCTTTTGGTTTTCACAGCTTTTATTACTGGTTTGTTGAACAATATTGGAACCCATGTGGATCCCATTCTTTTGATTCACCGCATTAAAGAAGGCATGGAGATTCCTAATTTGAGAGACTCACTAGTGAAAATTCTTCAGGACTACAACTTGCAGGTAAATGTTGCATTCTTCCTGTGTTACTCAATTTCAGAGCAACTGCAAAACCGCTTTGCTACTGAACAGCATGAGAAATGGCTGTCATGAAGGCTTGTTCATTTTTCTTCACGCATCTGTCATTGACGCTGTGTTGGTACAAAACTGTAACAAAAAGGGTAGAAATTTGGCAAGACTGATAGTCTCTTCTCTTGATGGCTTCTAGCTCTTCTATCTTCTAATGGCTTCTAATCTCTCCTATGCTGTCATGAGCCTGGTGGGTAAGTAGAACTGGAGGGATCTTGGGTGATTCAGACTATTTTATACTGCCCAACTGTCCAATATTGGAAAGTCTCTCATGACTGTTACTTTTCATTCTGAAATACATGAGGAGGCAGAACACAACATGCACTCACTGAAACATTCACCGGATATAAGAGCTGTATGTTAAGTGTCATAATAACTAAAGGAAGATGAACTTTTAAAATCAAATTCATGTCTGTTGTGCAGAATGTGTTGATGTCTATGTATTTAAAAAAAAAAAAGGACGGCTCATTGGATTATGGGAGTTCTTTCCCAGTGTAACTATACAGATAAGTGCAGCTCCCTACATGACCAGTTTCCGATGCATGTCTGTAAGAACTTACAAGAAGTGTACCCTTCAATGTTCCTGAACGTAGCAACAGAGGGATTTGCACTGCATATTTTAAATCTCCTTGCTACCAAAGGAGGCCCAAACTTGAGTTCTCTGTGACACTGCTTTGTACCTTTCTACTGAGAGATGTCGGGATATAGAGCAGTTTGAATGCCTCCAGTGTGACTATGCGGAGGGCAAGAAAACATAGCCCAGTAAGCATATGAAACTCCCAGTTTTCTGAACATCATAAACATTTGTTTCCCCTCTGCTGTTAGTCTTTGGACATCTCCAGCAAGTAGATGAGCTTGACAGTTTTCAGTAAGGTCACGGTTGGTCTCTTGCCAGGCCAAATAAAGCCTGTATCTGCTAGAGCCTTCAATGATGTCAGAAGGCCTTTTAAAAAGGCAGGGTTTAAGCCTTTCCAAGGCTTTTCCATTATTTTATTATCATATGGGCTTTAGATTATGACTTTCACTATTTCAAAGAAGCATTTTCCATGTCTTGTTCTCCTGACAGTCATTATGTGCAAGGCGCTACCCCAGATAAGCAGATACATTTTTGCATATAATGCATGTTGTAACATTACTTCCAGTTTTTAATTGACTTCCTGAGATACTAACATCCTTCCAATATGACACTAGCTAAATAGTATGCTGCATTTAAACAGTCACATGTTAATCTTTGGGCTGTCAGTACCCTGCTGCTTGCAGTGCTGATCCTTCTGTTCCTGCCTGCTGTTGAAATCAACGTGTAATTTTTGGTGTGTCTGCAGACGGACTGAGAAAGCGCTGTGTGCGTATCTACGGATTTACACATATGCAAAGTACATCACGTGGCTTCAGACAAAGCTGATGACGTCGTTTGGTCACATTTTGGGGAGGGAAGAATCATTTTGTCTTCAAATACCTTTTAACAAAATTACTTTGGGATTAAAAGGATAAGTTTAACCCTCAGAGTGATACCTAAAATTATTTGCTGTTAGCATTGACATGCTTCATGGATGTCCAATTAATTCATTTTGAAGTAGATTTGGGTAGCTCTAGGGCTAAAATTTAGATCTTATGGGAATAATAGAAATTAGGGAAGCTTAATGTAATTTTTGTTTGGCTTGCTTGTACGATAACAAAACAGTACAATCAAAGAAAGGGGGGACGACGACACTGTTTTTCTTTAGAGAAGTGTAAGCTGTAGCTTAAAATAAGGCTGTTCCTGAAGTGTTACAGGCGACGTAAAGTGTACCAGTTATGAACAGATGGTGTGTCTACACTGAAATTTAGAGATGTGATTGAAGATCACGTAGATTGGCAAGCACAATTCTTCTACAGCAGAACTCTTTCTGCATTCAGCATGTGCTTCAGGACATGACAGGGAGTTCAAGTAAATGTCTAAGTGGCCTCTCATTGGTGAGGGCAACTTTGCCCTATCTTCATCATTGCTGCTGCCTGATTAGCTGTTTTAAAGCTAGCCTTTGGTGTGTTTGTATGATGCCTGGTCACACCTTCACATCATGTTGTGTAGGTTCACATTGAGAAGTCCATGTCCTCTATTCTGGACTGGCACGATTCTTTGGATTTTGGTAAAAACTTCCTGATTGTATCATGTAATGTGCCAGATATTTTGAACTCATACAGAAATCCAAATTTCATTGGCTAAATGAAATTCTGTAATTTCATCTCTTTGGATCTCAAGCTCTGTATGCACATAAGTTTCATTGTTCCCATTTTCAAAGGCAAAAAAGAAAAACTTGTGCCAAGATCCGTAAAGGAGGCATGCAGGTGAAGTTAGAACCTGTTGCCTGGCTTGCAAGTCACTGCCTAAAACAAACACTGCTGATTTTTTCACAACATTCGCTCCCCAAAAGGTAATACAGCTTGTGCCGTTACATTAGGTTAACAGGGGAGGTCCCGGGGGACTGGA